AATAAATTAATAATGAAGATGTTATTTTAAAAATTTTGAAAGAAATTTATTCATTTTATAGTCTCAAAGACAATATTCTGATAGAAGAATATCATTCTATTTAAAATGGGTTTCTATACAGAAGTGCTTTCAATTTAATGGGTGTCTGCTTAATGCTTGTTTTTTGAAGACATTTTGTGTTATATAAACATTGAATGTACTGTATTTCATACAGATTGGAATCATGTCACAAAAAAAATAAGATTGATGATGTAAATATAAAGATGAATTGGATGAAGTATATAGTGACAACAAACTTAGATAGATATATAAATTTTGTATAAGGATGTACAATCATATGTTAGATAAAGAATACATTTTTAAAGAAAACTTATAGGATAATTACATTCAGAATATAGTAAGATAAAACTATCATACTCATGAGTAATACTTAATTTATCTTATAAAGAAATATTGAAAAAATAATTAATATAATCCAAATGCAAATTATTAAACAAATTGCAACAACCTAAATGACTTTGCATATGATGAATAAAATTTTAAATGAAATTGTTTCAAAAATATGTAAAAGAAAATAATCATATTAGAAAAAATACAAATAACTGACATTAAATAAAATTTTAAAATAAAAATCATTTATTGAAGACAATTTTCTTTGACTGTAATATAAATATTTTCAAGCACAACATCATTAAGTAAAAGTAAAGCCACTATCACTGGGCAATAAGTATCTGTTATTCTGTCATGAATTATTTTTATTACTTTATATTAAGATTTGTTTGCCCTTCCGATAAATGTAAAAAATTTTGTTAAATGATGCACTATTACACAAATGGAAAGTTTATATAAAAAACTAATTTTTTTATCATATTCAAAGAATATATAGCAAAATGATATTGATAATTTTTGATATTGTATCTTTACATTACAAATTGTGGATATAATTTTTCAAGTTTTAAAAATTTTAATGTAGCTATTTACATATTTACAGAACACACAATGAATAAACAA